GCATGTGGTGCTGGGGGATTGAACCGTGGTCCCTGATGTTTTTGCTAAGCTTGTTCTAAGTAGGTGCTTTAGACCACTGAGCCATCTCTCCAGCCCAATAGGTCATTATACTTCTCACTATATATTTGCAACTATGCACCTGTGAAATTACCAAATCCATTAAGTACACATATTTAAGCATAAGAAAAATGGATGAGATTAAGTATTCATCCCTGTACAGACATGTAGTAGGAATCTTTGTGTTCTATAGTATCATGCATGCCCAAAACACCTCTTAAAACACTCTCATGTGTTTTGGACTCTCCTTCTCTGAGGTTTCCACAATAGAGCTCTCTATATAGCAGGAGTCCATGCAAATAGGGCCTAACTCTAGTGATGAAAACCAGCCCAGCCCTGACCTGAGCTCTGCAGAGGAGCCCACCCCTGGAGGAGAATCTGTGGCATCTAAGTGATCAGGACTCAGCACAGAGGGCTCGCCATGGAGCTGGTGCTGAGCTGGGTTTTCCTTCTGGCTTTTTTCAAAGGTAACTCAGGAGAAACAAGATTAGTGATTTGCGAGTGGCATGAGTGGAATGAACGGTGGCCATAAAGACAATTTCCTGAGAAATATCTCTCTATTTGCAGGTGTCCAAGCTGAGGAGAGGTTGGTGGAGTCCGGGGGAGGCTTAGTGCAGCCCGGAGGGTCCCTGAGACTCTCCTGCGTGGGCTCCGGGTTCACCTTCAGTAGCTATGTCATGTACTGGATCCGTCAGGCCCCAGGAAAAGGGCTGGAGTGGATCTCATATATCAGTGAGCGTAGTATTAACATAAACTATGCAGACTCCGTGAAGGGCCGCTTCACCATCTCCAGAGACAACGACAAAAACACGGTGTATCTGCAAATGAACAACCTGAAAACCGAGGACACGGCCGTGTATTACTGTACCAGAGACACAGTGAGGGAAACCTCTGTACAAGCCAGGCAAAAACCTCCCTTCAGGAATGCTTAAGACCAGCAGGGGGCGCTCGGACACACGGAGCACAGACTACCTGAAGTACACATGTATTAATTATTTTATTGTTTTAGATTGGTATAATGACATGTCGAAAACCAAAGCTATGGGGTGATAGTAGCAGGAAGGAAACAGAAAGAATAAAATTCAAACTATGGAAAATCCCAAGTAATATCCAATATGATTGATTAATTGTTTAGCTTTAAAAGCCCCCAAAAGATAAGCAATTCTGTGAAACAGAATACTGTAAATTGGCAATTTTCTGTTATGTAAATTGTACACTTTTCGTTTTGTATCCTTTTCCCAATACATAGCTAAACCCTTTTGGATGTTATATAACATAATATAAAACAAGATACAAAAATTTAGTATAAGATTGTGTATTAATTACTTCATATATTTAAGTTCTTTCTGAAAAAGCATCACTCATACATACCTAAAATGAACAGGGTTGGACATTAGGATTGAGAAAACATGTAATCAAATACTCATATTATTTTAATTTATCACAACAAGTGATTCAAGTTGGAAATTTATTCAACCGATTAAATGCAAAAAAATCAAAATGCTGCACTAGACATTGTCTATAAGTCAGAAGAACTCTATGTGTAATAGAAAGACCATGCATTGAACATTAAAACACAGTGAGTAAAAAAATGAAAATTTATTGCTTATTAAATGAAGTAAATATGGCTACAGGTGAGGCTAGATGATGGAAAGGAGATGGTAAGACCAATCACCCTCATGCTGACCTTGACTGACCTTGACTGTGAGGCTGTGAAAATGCGGGACAGGGAATGAGATGATCAGTAACACATGCACGGCCACTGGAGATTTACCACATTTGGCCCTGTGTCATTAATACTGACTCCTTCCTGTGCTTAGATGTAGGCTTTCACCGTTAAAGAAATGAGATCAACACCCTTTCTTCAATATGCATATAGGGGGAAACAAACTAACACATACATAAAACCCTTCCATATGGGTCTGCTGACATATAACATTAATATTTTTATACTATTGCATACAGAATCAGAGCAACAGCTTCTAGTGACTGTGAGATCATGAAACAAATAGAACTAATCACCAGTTTTGTTGTGGTATGGAACAGAGTAAGCATTGTTCCAATAGAATCAGAAATTATTTAATATGAAAAATCCTTTGCAATTGTCTTTGTAAAATATGCTTTTACCATACGTGGGTAAAACTCATGCAGAATGCCATGGACAGAGTCCCAGCCCAGGCACAGCGTGGGCCGGACCCTCTCCCAGCCCCTCGGGCTGCCCCCCCACCACTCTGCAGTGCCTCCCCCAC